TAAGAAAGCAGTCAAAAACAAAACCCTTCCATATTCACAGTAAAAGAAGGATGAATTCGAAAACCGCCGAAATGGTAGCATGTGCCAACAGCAACTATTCACTGGCAAGACTGTTGAAGATAATCACTTCCGGGGATTATTTTGAAGCAATCTGATCACGATTTTGATTTCTTGGCACACTCTGGTACCAATGTGCTAATGAAATCTACTACCAAAAAAACCACAGGGAAATCGGTTGGCCCAATATCCGAGTTGAACCGCGACATGCAACATAACAGCGATGCCTGCCAGCACAATCAAAAAAATGTTCAGTAAAATCACAAACTCAACAAAAATCCCTCAATCAGCGACGCTGTTTAACATTGCAGTTCCATCTGCTATCACCATAATTTATCTAAGCTATCCGATATCATTTATGGCTTACTTTCGGGACATTTGAGGATGCATGGATGAAAGGAACAATAATCGGCGCATCGGAAACAGATGTCAACAGTGCATCAATTTTGCATGTAACAGCAGTGCCTTCCTGTTCAACGTAACTGGATCCCGTTCCAGCCCCGTCCACACCCATCTGAAAACAAAAAAAGCCTGCAGCTCGTCTGAAAAAAAATTTTTTTAATATCGTAATGCAGCAGCAAGGGAAAGAAACTTTTCTCCTGTTTACTCAGTTGCACCGCACCTTTCCCTCCTAGCTTTCTCAAAAATTCTACACCAAATGCAACAAATCGTAGAGGCACCCAGATGGCGCAGATATTCAAGAGATTGAACCAATCAGCATAAGTGACAATATGAAAATATGACTGACTTGTAGTGAAATGGGACGAAACCGATTTATCGAACGCCCATTGGGATAGATCGATTCTGATAGGAATTTATCATAATAAGCTCTCGGATCACACAGCTTCAGCAAATCAGCTGCCATTGCTAAAAAAAAAATCACATTTCTGAGAACTAGACTAGCAATAAATAATCAAATTTAAGGTTAAGTAAAAATTAGGTTAGAAAATGTACAAGTGGATGATGGAAAAAGATCAAAAAGGAAAAAAAAGGAAAGATGTAAAAAGAAGTAATAAATTAGGTAAGAAATGTTTCGGTCCATTAAGTCGTATACATTTCTTACCGTTACCACAGTTGGACCTCAAATAGGTACATTGGCTCATGAGAGAATATGTAAATAACAAATTTGCAATTATCAAACTTTGCAAATCATCGACCTTCCCTGCACCATGCCTTGAATCACTAGCCGATAAGCAACTGCTCAAAAAACTCAAAATATCACAAGCAATCTAGTTCGAATTAAAACAACTAATCACAGTACCAAACTGATGTATCAAGAAGAAATTTTAGGCATATTTGCGTTCATTGGAATTCCATCTATTTTTTGAAGAGATCAAAAAAATTCAAAAATTTTATTTTGAAAAGCATTCACAATCAGATGAACAAATCAGAGAAAGAACACTAGAAATTTAAAATGATAACATATTTGCACCCGGCATATAGGAGCATCCCAGTAACATCATATTGACTGTCCAGGCGATCTGGACAGGAATGAAAGAGCAGATACGCGTCGACAAAATGACAGCTGACTATTTTGTACCTTATCAAGTGAGACAGCGATATATGTACAAACACACGACAATAAGCAGACTGCAGCAACCAGGTTAAACCCCTAAAATCCAGTCAAAACCTTCTCCGGGCATATTTCGTACTTTCTCCGTACATACAGATATAAGAGGCGGAGGTGCTCGAAAGCAGACCCGGTGAAGCGGTTTTTTTAAAGAAAGCTGTTGGGCTAATCCGAAAACAAAACAAACGCTAGAGTCGCTGACAGGTGGCGCAGCACAGGTCAAAGTTGATTGGGAAAGTTACGAGCTGCACAGTATGGAGAAGCACCTATCAATTATTTTTAACAAATTCTGCCGGAAAATATGACCAAACTCCAAAACTATCTGTTTTTAGTGCGGAAGTTAAAGCTTAGAGAAACAAATCGATTCGAATCGGACTTACACATGCAACAAGACGTGTTAGACGAGATGCCAAAGGAAGAATTCTATTAGTTTGCATATCCATTTGCATAATGTTTTGAGCATCAAAAAGGAGCAGGAAACCACCTAGGGCGACTGAATGACATAGTTTTTTCTACAGGAACTGCCCGTAAATGAATAAAATGTTGATAAGACCGCGGTCAGATGGCAGACAGATGATGCTGGTTAGGGCGAAACAGATAAATACGTCTTTCTTGGCCAAAGAATATATGTTACCATCTCTCGTAAGAAATTGTGCACTGAACCGGTGCCACTTGCTGCAGCACAGTTCATAAAATCATGTTAAAACCCCAAGCGTCGGGCCGGAAAAAAGCTTCAGTACAATTGTGCTGAATGTAAATGACGTAAAAATGCGAGGCGCAGCCACTAACGAAAGCAGAAAAGCGCACAGACATCAGTGAAGGGAAGGATGTTTGGCGTGTCTCATCGTGATCATAACAAACAATCGGACCCTCCGACAAATGAGCAAAGTGCAGGATATCACTGCATAACATGCGAGAAAGTAAAATCCGATGAGTGGATAGGCACTGCATATTAGTGCTCGTCTAGCTATAGCCAGAAGTCATTGTGTATTAGTGAATGGTACCCATAAGAAAGCAAAGATCATTCAGGCATCTCTCAAAGAACGTACAAGCAATGAACAGACGGCGGTACTGACCAGAGATGCGCAGCTTAAGATTGAATGACTCAATACAGCTAAACTTGGAGTTTGGAGACATCTTAGTAATATCACTAGCATGGAAATCCGCATCTGCTATTAGGGCAGTTCTGGCATTTTAAGGTCAGAATCCACCCAAATTTAGCGATAATTCTAAAAAACAACGACAATCACAAAACTGCGTTTTTTGGCATAAAAAAAAAAGAAAAAAAAACTGTTTTTGAATAAATCGCAAAAGTAGGTGCTGTTGTCAGTCAGAACACGCGACTCAAATTCCAAAAAGCTTATGATCAACAGTAAAACCTGGATAGCCACATCGATCGACGAGAAGCCTTTTTTGTATTATCTTCCTCAGAAAAGTAAAGGAATAAGCTGTTAAAATATACAGCAATGCTATAGTCAGAATTCTCAACTATCACCTAGTTATGAAAAGGTCATCGAAGAGGTCTGAGGACCAGATCATTGACAGGTACGAAAAACTACATTGTTGTGTACAGTGATTTTTCGGTCAGAAGTTGTTGGGCTGAAAGCTATAACATCTTTCTTAGCAAAACTGCGCCTTTCCTGCTTCCATTAACCCGTATCTTCGTTGATTGCCGCTGCCACAGCGATACTGTTCGAGCGTCCGTCAACCAGCCTTGAAGAACGACGTCGATCTTCTTGCAAGCTACTTCCTGATAAAGCATCGCCAACAAATGGGGCTGGCGAAGTACGCTGAGGCTGAAAAAAGCACAGAGATTACGATTTTCAGGAGATTCGCATTCAGTTATCTAAACATGCCTAAGGAAACTGTGCTTTGCATGGGCGAATTTGCATATGAGATAATCGTATTTTAAGATTAAAAAAAAATAGAAAAAAATACCGAAACAGAAGCACTGTGAGCGGAAGAATAGATAAACGGTGGTAGCTGTATCTGTGAATGGCCACGTGGTGGTGAGCACGTTCCGCCATCGCCACCGCATCGTACACACACATGCCGCTCTTCGAATAACAACACATTCATTGCCTCCTCATAAATTCGGGCTTCCGGAAATTCCACCTTCGTTTGCTTCTTATCGGTCGCATAGACTATCGAAGTGCAGCACACCTGAAAGATCAATGACACTCAAAGAAAGACCGAAGAAAACCCTTGAAAGATTGTTAACAGGAGCGGATAAGTCACAAAATTGGCCAAGTAACCACGTTCAACACCAAGTTACTACTCCAGTTACTTTATGCGCCGCAAGCCAAATCGGCTGGGAAAGCAAGACAAACGGGCACACTTTTTTCTACGTAATTCTGCGACAGTAATAAATATGTATAGAAAAAAACAACCAACTTCAGCTTTTTTCCTTCCCTGTCCGTAGAACGTCCACTGGCATACTTCCGCATTTTCGGCCCCAATATCTAAAATTAATTTTTATTGGACAAATCTGTGGCTAATTTCTGTTCAGAAGACGATGGATATGTCTGTACCTTTTACAAAGAGGACACGATCATTAAATCGTGTCACCAGGCGATCGAACAACTCCAGGTTCTTCATCAAATTATCGTCCGACTGAGAGGTATAGGAATAT